TGTGATAGTATTCGAGGTAGGAAGATACGAGATGGTCCAGATGGACGAGGCCGAACGCGATAAAGCGGTTGAGGCACTCGGACTTGATCGATCCTACCCAGCGCTCGACGAACGCGTTCTGATTCGGGGCCCGCGGCGCCGTCGGTTCGACCGCAACGCCCGCTTCTGCGAAGACACGGTCGAACCGTCTGGAGTATTTAAAGTCGAGGTCCCGCACCAAGTAGCGAACGGGCAACTCCATCGACCGGGCCTGCTGCAGCATCGACTCGGCCTGGGCTGTCACCCACTTGTCGTCCGGCTTGAGCGTCGCCGGGGAGCAGATGACCCTTCGCGAATTAACGTGCAGGAACGCCAGCACATACGCCTGCCGCAGTCCGCTGCTAGTGACGACCATCTTCGAGAAGAAGTCGCATTGCCACAGCGTGTCGGCGTGGATCTTGATGAAGTCGTCCCAGGTCCCGGGTCCACGCTTGGGGCTTGGATGGACCCCCTCCTCCTTGAGGATTGTGCGGACCGTCGTGCGACCGACGCAGCGGATGCGCAATTTTCGCAGCTCGCCGACAATCCGGCCGTAACCCCAGCCATTCTCACGGGCGAGCCGCACGACGATCTGGCGGATCGTCTCCGACGTTCCCTTACGGCCCATCTTCTTGGCGGGCGGTTTACCCTGGCTTCTCCGCTCCAGCCAGCGGCGGTACGTTCGCGGGTGCACGATGGAAACCAGCCGCAACACATCCGACCCGAGCCCGTCGCCCAGTTCTAGAAGCCGCTGGCGTTCTTCGTTCGTCAGAAAGAGCCGCTGCTTCTCGACCCGTTGTCGGGTCATCTCTAGCTCCGCCCTCAAGAAAAGGACCTGCCGCCGGAGCTGTTCTTCATCGGAACGTGCAAAGAGGAAGAAGAGCGGTGAGAGCCAGGGCGGCATCGCTTCGGCGTCCTTCCGGGTTTGGGGTGAGTTGGGGGTGACAATCTTTCTGAACCCCTGCTGTTGCCCGATTCTCGCCGGTCATCGACTGCACGCAAGGCATCCCCGCTTGCGCACCGAAAAATGCTAACGCCTGCTATCCGTTGACAACCGATGCCGTCCCTTGCAAGCCGCCAAGCGGGGATGTAGTTTCCCGAAAGTGTTGTCAATGAAGCAGTTGCGGGTTCGGCCTCTTGGTTCCTCATAACCTCGAGGTCGTCGATTGGGGCCGTGCGGAGGAAGGGGAAGAAGCCCGCACACACCCGCCACCTCCGCACCGGCTTTCTTTAGCAGATTCCGGTGGCCCCTCATCGCTATAATCCTTCGCCCGTTGACTCCCACGCCCGGCTGCTGGAAAATTAATCGTAAGTCTATCAACGACCGATAGAGTACTGAGGAGAGGAACCAGCAGAGCGGAAACCCGAGGAGAGCCAATCCATGCCCTACGAGCGTTCCTACGAGATTGAACAGCGCCTCAAAGCGGTCCTCCGTTGCATCGCGACGGGGAGCTACTCGACCCCGCAGATCGCCGAGGAGCTGGGCGTGTCGGTGCCCACCGTCTCGCGCAATGTGCTCGCCCTACGCGAACGCGGCCACGCCATCCGCTCCGAGAAGCGAGGCGATGGCTGGCGGTACGTCCTAGAGGGAACCACCGGCGCCGAGAAAGACACCCCCCAACCCCGGAAAGGCGCCCACGCATGAAAGCCGAGATAATCAAGAGGATCGTCCGCGCGATCGCTGACGGGTCGCAGGAGGACTTGTCGCGATTGGCCCAGCGGGTCGTCGAGACGGAGCGGGAGCGCGGCCACGAGCGGTTGGCGGGCGAGCTGTCGCAGATCCTCGCGGGGGGCAAATCCGCCAAACCATCCCGCCCGACTACGCAGGACCCGGGGAGTCATCTCCGCGAACTGCCGCTGAGCCGGCGCAGCGGCGAGCTGCTGCTGTCGGTACTCCCGCGCGAGTCGCTCGAACACCACATGGTGCTCCCGCCAGCGGTCGAGGAGCGGTTTGCGCGGGTCGAGCGCGAGTACGCCGCACGCGAACGCTTGGGCGCCTATGGTCTCCGCAATCGCAAGAGAATCCTGCTCTACGGCCGCCCCGGTTGCGGCAAATCCCTCGGCGCCCAGCGGCTGGCGTGGAACACCGGCCTGCCGCTGCTGAAGGTCCGCTTCGACGCCCTGATCTCGTCGTTTTTTGGGGAATCGGCCACAAACCTGCGGGCCGTGTTCGACGCCGCCCGCGAGCGTCCCTGCGTGCTGCTGCTGGACGAGTGCGACTTCATCGCCCGCTCGCGCACCAGCGGCCGCGACATTGGCGAGGCCTCCCGAATCGTCAACTCGCTCCTGCAATTGATGGAAGAGTACGACGCCCCGGGCCTGTTGGTGGCGACCACGAACATTGACACCGAGCTCGACAACGCCCTGTTCCGCCGCTTCGACGAGATCCTGGAGGTCCCTCCCCCGGGTCCGGCCGAAATCGAGCAGCTCCTGAAGATGACGCTCAGCGCGGTCGAGGTTTCGCCGAGCGTCAAGTGGCGTCCCTTGGTGGGCAAACTAGCCGGCTCTTCGGCGGCCATCGTCGTGAAAGTCGCGCGCGACGCGGCCAAAGCGGCGGTGCTCGAGGGTAAGAAGGTGGTCACACAGACGCTGCTGGAAGGGGCAATCGCCGATCGGCGCTGCGAAGGAGAGGACGCAGCAGGCGCCTAAGTCATGCCACCCGACCACCAGTTCGAGCACCTCCCGCTTGTTCTTAAGCATCACGGCCCGGCGCGCCTCACCGGAGGCGGCTCCGACGCCGACCTCACCAAAGAATTCCGTCGCAATCGCAAGAGCCACTCGACGACACTCCTGTCGAGCCTGACGGCGGCGTCCGACGCATGGCGAAAAACTCAGGTGGCCCGACGTGAGCAGGACGCGCCGGAGGTGGAAGCAGGCATCCCCCTGGTGCTCCAGGTCGATACGTCCTTGGACCTGGACGACCTGCGTCGGCAGTTCGCATTCGAGGTCGTGGCGGAGGAAGAGGATGGCTATGTGATTGTCGCTTCGGAAGACGTCGATCTGGCTCTCTTTCGGCAGAAGGTGAAGGATTTTGCGGGAGGGGGGACCGGATCGGGAAACATCGCGAAGGTCCACGAGCTGCTCGACAGCGACACGCAAGAAGATCGGCTTCGGCGCGTGCTCTCCGAGCGCCTCTTCGCGGAGTGGCCCGAAATGCAGGACGACGCCTTATACATCTGCGACGTCGGCATCGCCTGCACCGGTAACTGGGCGGCCCCGAATCCGTTCAAGCCACGCGCTCACTGGAAAGCGGAGACGAACCAGCGGCACGAAGAAAAGAATCGTGCTGAGGTTCAGGCAGCCTACGACCGCTGGGACGAGCTGCGTGAGGACCGTCGGGCGGAGGTCAAGCGGATCACGGACCACTACGGCGCCGAGGTGCTCGGCGAGTACGAGAAGGCCGTGCCTGTTCCCGATAGCTTCACGCTCCGCGTGCGTATCGCAGCTCGGGGGCTCAAGGACCTGGTGCTCAGCTACCCCTATGTATTCGAGGTGACCGAGCCGGACGAGATCGAGACGCCGCAGCAGCAGGCCCGCGACCTGGAGGACCAACTGGCGGAGATAGAGTTCCAGGCTCCAGCTCCCGACGCCCCGGTGGTTTGCGTGATCGACAGCGGCATTCAGGAGGAACACCGCTGGCTGGCGGCGGCCGTCGATGGGAGCGTGTCGAAGAGCTTCTTGCCGGCGCCGGACGCCGATTCGGTGGCGGACCATGTCGCTGGCGGCGGACACGGCACCCGGGTCGCCGGCGCCGTGTTGTACGGCCGCACAATTCCCAAGTCGGGGGTCGTGCCCCTCGAAGCTCGCCTCCAGAACGCTCGAGTGCTGAACGGTCGTTGCGAGATGCCACGCGAGATGTTTCCGCCTGAAGTGCTGGAGCAAGTCGTCGAGCATTTCCACCGAGTCGGCAATACGCGACTCTTTAATCAGTCGGTAAACGCCGACAGCCCCTGCCGCACCACGCATATGTCGGCTTGGGCGGCGGAAATCGACCGCCTCTCGCACGAAAACGACATTCTCGTCGTTCAAAGCACGGGCAATCTCAAGACCGATCGTCCCGCGCCACGCCCTGGGGTGGCGCAGCTTTTGGAGACGGGAAGGCCCTACCCGGATTATCTCGATCAGCCCGCCTGCCGGCTCGCCAACCCGGCGCAGAGCTTGCAGGCGATGACCGTCGGGTCGGTCGCGATCGAGACGCTTGAACAAGACGGTTGGCGGAGCATCGCTACGGCCAGCGGCGCTCCCTCGGCTTTTGGTCGCTCGGGGCCGGGCATTTGGGGCGTGATCAAGCCGGAGGTCGTCGAGCAGGGTGGCGATTTTCTGGTGAGCGATGGCGCTCCGCCGGCCGTGGCGACTCCTGATGTGGGCGCCAACTGCTATACAGAACTGGTTCGGTCGACAAGAAACGGCGGACCCGCACACGCCCGCGACTGCGTAGGGACTTCTTTCGCGGCGCCGCAGGTCGCCAGGATTGCGGCCCGCCTGCAAGCGGTGCTGCCCGAAGAACCTTGCCTGCTCTACCGAGCGCTGATTGCCCAGTCGGCGCGGTGGCCGGCCTGGGCAAACGGCCTCTCGCCCGCCGAGCAGGCCGCCCTCTTGCGACGCATCGGATACGGCATCCCCGACCTCGACCGGGCGACAACCAACACCGATCAGCGGGTCACGCTCATCACCAGCGGTAAGACGAAGCTCGAAGCAGGCGGCTGTCACATCTATCAGGTGCCGGTCCCGGAGCGGTTGCGGCGCCCCGGAGAAGATCACCAGATACGGATTGACGTGACGCTCTCCTACTCCACCGCGACGCGGCGGACGCGGCGAAAGCACGCCTATCAGGCGACTTGGCTCGACTGGGTGACCAACCGACGGGACGAGTTGTTGGAACCATTCGTGGAGCGCGCGATTAAGCGCGAAGCCGAGTATGCGAACCAGGGGCGCGAGACGTTCAATTGGACGGTACACCCGCAAGTGCAGTATGGTCTGAGCGGCGCCAACCGCAGTGCGGGCACACTGCAAAAGGACTGGGCCTATATCAATTCTTACAACCTGCCGAGGGATTTTTGCATCGCGGTGCGGGGGCACCAGGGCTGGAACACCTCGCCCGATTCATCAGCCGCTTATACGCTAGCCGTAACCTTCGAAGCGACGGGCGGCGAATTATCGGTCTACGAAGAAGTCAGGGCCGAGGTGCTGGAACTAATTGTGCAAGCTGAGCAAGAGGTAGAGATATCCGACTAGCTGAGATAAGACAGCGGACAAGATCAAGGGCAGAGTTGTTACAGGATGTTTCAATGATTTCGCACCTCCAGCTCCCGCGGTTTAGGAGTGAACACGCCCCTTGCGGCAATCTCCGTACTTGCAAGCAGATTAGGGTTTATGTCCCTGCGTTTTGCAATTGAGGCCACAACTTTACCCCGCCGGTACGCAGGAGCGACCTCGTGCGAGACTAATCGGTGTTTTCCTCGGAATGGGTCGAGCAACGCGATTTCTGATTCGGTGGGACTCGTCGGTTGTACGCCACCGCATCCTCCCACCGTCCCATTGTCGGTTTGGCCCTGCCCCGTCCCGGAGTGAGCATACAGAGGGGAGGGAGCCGCCAAATCCGTCGTTGCAGGCGTGCGTTACCCCCGCCTTGGCTTGCTCTAGCCGAGGCTACTGGCCCGAGGGCGAATAGACCTCCACACCAGTCGCGTGTCAGAGGTTAAACTGTGTGCTTCCGAGAAGACACCTCGCTGTCGCCGTCGTACGGACTAAAACGATGGTGTAGAACCACGACGATGGGGTGATAGATCGACGACGGCAAGGTCAATGAGCCCATGCCGAATTCAAAGCCGTAACTGGAGGGTCTGCCGCCTTGGCTAAAAAACGCCGACCAACCTGGGACCCATTCACCCGGCCACAGCCGACGTGGGAGTGCTTGACGCACCCCGCGCTCCTGGTGCAGGCCTGGAAGAAGACACACAGTTACCTTCGTTCAAAGAGCTGGTTTGCGGACATACTTGAGCTCGACTTGTCGGCAGTCGATCTTAAGGAGTATATCGATGTGCTCCGTCAAGATATCTGCGATGGACCAGAGCGCTTTGCTCCCTCGCCCATGCGACTGGTACCGGCGCCCAAGTCGGACCTCTATCCGTGGGTGTTCAAAGACGGGGCGTGGCAACCGGGGCCAAAGACAAAGAAGTTCGTCCGACCGCTGGCGCACCTAGCCTTACGCGACCAGGTGCTCGCGACGGNNGACGGCGGTAATGATCTGTTTGGCGGACTGTGTCGAGACCATTCAAGGCGACAGCGACCTACCGACCGCAGACGCGAGGAAGGCGGGTGTCACAAGCTATGGGAATCGACTTTTGGTCGACTGGGTCAGCGGTGACGCAACGCCGCAATCGGGTCACTTCACGTGGGGCAATGCAGCACTTTATCGCAAGTACTACCTAGACTACCAAGCGTTCCTAAAACGCCCCATCGCCATCTGCCGTCAGCAACTTTCACTTACGCCGGAGGACGCTGAGCTTGGTGTAGTTACGATCGACCTACAAGGTTTCTACGACGCAATTCCAGTCGACGAGGCAATCGCCGCCTTGAAGAACCTCTCCAAGGAAGCGGGGCATAGAAACGACCTTCGCTTCTGGCAGGCCGTTAAGAGTTGCTTTGCCTGGACGTGGGACAAGTCGGACGCCCAGTCTAAAACGTTGCTTAAGAGCAAGAAGCTGCCGTCTGGGCTTCCCCAGGGGCTCGTCGCCGCCGGGTTCTTTAGCAACGCGTACATGGTCGATTTTGACCGCAGGCTGGCCCGAACGATTAAGCGAGCAAAGCCGGACGTCGGAAAGGGGTGGCGTATCCTCGACTACTGCCGGTACGTCGATGACATCCGACTGGTGGTCGCCGGACCGATCGCCTCCGATGGAGAAGACATACCACGGTTGTGCGGCGACTGGATAAACAAGCAGTTGACGAAGTATATCAAAGGGCAGCAGTGTAATGATGGAAAGTCGGCTTTCGCCACGCATGAAGAGGTGGAGAGTCGGACGATGCGACCGGTCTTGATGGCGGCGATCCAGGACAANNACAAGCTTAGTGGCCCGATCGATCTCCAGTCGCTCGAAGAGGCGGGGCTAGCCCTCGACGGCTTACTGAACACCGTTGGTAACAGTGAAGCCGTCGGAGGCGCTACGGAAGCAAAGCCGCAGGACGACCAGCACGACAAGACGCTTGCTTTGGAGCGGATACACGCCCCTCGCCACAGCGTGCGCGACGACACCGTAGCGCGCTTCGCGGCGTTTCGACAGCTCAAGGCACTCCGGGCTCGCCGTTTCTTGCTTGCGGCTGAGCCGGCCGGAGTACGCTCGACGGCTCTAAGACGGCTCGACGCGGAGGTCGAGTCCTCGGCGCGGCGGATGGTTTGGATGTGGAGTCGCGATCCTTCCCTTGTGATCGTCCTACGACATGCGATGAACCTTTGCCCTACGCCAGAGCTGATCGAGCCGGTGCTCGAAGCGCTTCGGTCGGTAATAGGGCCGGACGGACTCAAGAAGCAGGACGGTAAAGAGGAGGCATTTGACCAGGCCGCTGCGTGGTACACCGCCGGCGAGCTGCTCAAGGCGGGGGTGATTGAGACGGGGTTCGAGGCGTCTCCTTCCGAGCTGCCGGAGAAGGCCGACTTAGAGGGGTACCGGGAGTCACTTGCGGATTTTTCTGAAGAGCTGTTGAGAGAGGCTCGCACGCCATGGTTTGTCGCGCGTCAGGCGGCTGTGTTCCTGCTGTCTGTAGGTCGCATACCGTTGCCGTCCACCGCACTCCGCAAAACGATCGGCAACGACTATATCGCTCTACTCAAAGTTGCGAAAGGCGGCATTTCTCTAGCAGGCGACGGCAGCCGCTTGCTGCCACTCCTTCTCGTACTCGACCAACTGTGTAACCATCGGTCGAAAACCCTCACGAGACTCAGAAAGTACTTCTTGTCCCTGACGCCTGAAGAAGCGCCGCACGAGGTGGAACGACTAGTGCTCGCGAATCTTCAGATTGCGATCGATCTTCGTGCGCATCTAATTGCGAAGCGTTCCTCGAAACGGAAGTATGTGCCGCTGATTGCCACACTACCCAACGACGACGAGCGCGACAAACACGAAACCACCGATCTTGGCAGGAACGCAACTCTTGGCGAAGTAATGGGGGCGCGGGACAACCCATTCGCACAGGAAACGGCAGCGCTGCAGCTCCTGAAAAAGCTCGCGGAAGCCTTGAGAGTGGGCGAGATCCACCAAGAACAACTGCAACCGCAAAGCTTGCGGCTCAGTATCAACGCGCCCTGGCGGACCCTAAAAAATCCTCGTCGCAAGCAGACTCTCGGCGTGCATCAAATTGACAGCAAACATGCCGACCCTCGCTATGTCAATCCGACGTGGGCCAACGGGGAACGGGGGGAGCTGTACGCGCTGGGGCGGCTCCTCCGGTCCGCTGTTCTGGGTTCCAATGACTTCACTGCTTCGAGCTTCGAGCTGTCGCAGTATCGTGACGGCTACTCCGGCCTCAAGAGTTCTTGGTTCAAGCGCCAGCACGGCCTATCGACCGACTTATCGGCCTCGGAATGGGACACGACCAGCCGGTCTCCCTGGTTCGCTTCCCTGGTAGCGCATCTGCTTAGCTGGCCAGGCAGCCGCGTTGATCCGGACGGCGAGTTTACCCAACTCCGGACCGTGGACGGCCTGCTGAAAGTAGTCAGCTCGCGGCTAACGGTGCTCAAAAAGATGTTTGGTCGCGCGACCGACCTTCCCGTGTATGACTGCGACCTACGCCTTGAGCTTAAGTCTCCGCCAACGCTGTCGATGGCGCTCGTGCAGACCGTCCGACCTACCCGTGACGATTTTATAGCACACGGGGCCGATCTCGGGTCGAGCGCTTTCCGGCCCGTGCATCGGGGGCACCTCGCCTCAATGCTCCGCCTAACCTACGAGCACTTGGCGCTGCGTCCTAGTTACGACAAGAAGGCAGTCGTCGACTTCGTGGTGCTCCCCGAACTGAGCGTTCACCTAGACGATTTAGACCTCGTAGAACGCTTCATCGACGCGACGCAAGCGATTGTTTTCTGCGGCCTCTCGTTTTTTAACGACGCGCGGCGAGGCGGCCTCGTTAATAGTGGATTGTGGCTTATCCCCGAGCGCCGGAAATCGGGCCGGAGCTTTCGTCGGCTGTTGCAGGGCAAGCACCACCTCACCGAGGAAGAAACGAAACTGGGTGTGCTCCCCCACCGCCCCCACCAACATGTTCTCAAGGTCCGTGGCCTTGCGAATCAGAAACCGTTCGCGATCTCCGCGGCGATCTGCTTCGACGCGACGGACCTCTCACTCGCCGCCGACCTGCGCGACCAAACCGATATGCTGATTGTGGCGGCGAACAATAAAGACGTGCCGACGTTTGACACGATGGCGACGTCGCTCAGCTGGCACATGTTTCAACACGTCGCCATCGTGAACAGCGGCGAATTTGGCGGATCGGTTGTCAGTGCTCCTTACAGGGAAAGGCATCAGCGGGTGCTCAAGCACGACCACGGAGGTCTCCAGGCCGCGATATCGATTGTCGAGATCGACCTCAGCGACTACCAGCGGATGCGCGAACATCCGCCTAGAAAACTGAAAACACCCCCCGCAGGCTTTGCACGGCACTAAGTGTCGATGGGGATAATGGCTATCCGCAGAATCTTCTCTGAGAAGCAACATCTGATGTCCTTGCACATGAGAGTCGGGACGTTTCGGCTTCCGTCGACAATGAGCTGGAAGGCGGCAAGCCGCTGGCGATTGTCAGGACTCGCTCCATGACACCTGACGAGGGAAGAATTCAATGACGTGGCACGCTCAATCTGGGAAACTG